TTCAAAATTCGATGGCTCTGTGCACCATTGTTTTATCACAATGCGAGAAATATACATATATTTATGCAGATTTTTCATTATTTAATTTCTTTAAATATAATGCAGGACTCTAACATTTGTTCACAACAGTTTGAAAAGAGAAACGGACATTTAGTGAACCAACGCAAAATCGCAAAACGAAAACAATAGTCCTTCAGGGACAAAGCCCCTTTGGACTAAAAAAAGAAATGTAAAGAATTTTATGAAACAGCTTTCTGTGCAGCTAGTAAGTAATCGGTATAGCTTTTGTTAGCTCCTTTCGAGTAAAATTTCCAATTAATAAACTATTTATTATAGAGTGTGCCATAATTTAATCATCGGATAATAAAAATTTAAAGCTAATTTTATGAAATAATCTACGAGTATATGGATGTAATCTTTAGTTCAAGGAATTTCATTTCTTCTAATTTGGGGAAATGGCAACAGGGAACTTGTTTGTTTACAGGCAAAATGCCGTTACCAGAGAAAAAGCAATGTGTGTTCCTTGGTTATGGGGAAAAAAGTCTCCAAAAACAGTTCAGAGGTGATTCCGACATGAATTTAATAAACTTCCACCAACGGAAGAATCAATTAGAAAATGGTTAAAGCAGTTTCGAGAGATTGGACATGTTTTTTTAAAGGAACTGCAAGTAGACCAAGAGTCAATGATGAAAATGTTTCCGCCATTCGAAAAATGTATTAACTAACAGCATATAGTGAATTTCAGTTTCAGAAAGAAGCTCCTCCTTTTACTCTGTATCACGTAAACAACATCAGTAAAACAAAAAGACGAAAGCAAAAGTCATTTGCATCATGCAAAATCATGCAAAAGTCATTTATACAAGAGGAGTCCATCAGTCGACGAAAAAATTGAGTTTCTGGTCGAAGGTCCAAATCAGTGAACTGAAGAATCTACTTTGAGTAAAAAATTTTAAGGGTGGAGAATATCTGATGGATATTTGTGCTTTTTTCTGGGGAATGGAAAACATCTAAGAGAACTGATGCAGTTGTTAGGATGAGTGAGACCTGAATAGAAGAAATTTCTGGCAAGTTCTTGAATATAATCTTAAATTGTATCTACTTTGAGATCACAGTGGATATGCGAATTTAGAATGAACCATGGCGCGTTGATAATCTCTCTGAGTGCTTTGTTTTGAAGAACTTGGATGTGTTGAAGGTGAGTTTTGGCAGCGTGGCCCCAGATAGGACTAGCATAGAGTAATGCTGGTCGAAGTAAAGATTTATACAAGAGGAGTTTATTAGAAGCGGACATATGACTTCTTCTGCCAAGAAGTGGGAGCATAGTTGCAAGCATGATATTAATTTTTTTCCCAGTTTCCCTGAGATGTTTCTGAAAAGTCATTTTTTTTTTATCAAGAATGACTCCTAGATATTTAACTTCGTCAGCCCAGTCAATTTTTTCATCAAACAGAACAGGTCTAGGTGGAGTGAAATTTGTTTGGCATTTGCGAAAAATTATTGCTTTAGATTTTTCGGTATTAACTGCAATCCTCCAAAGAGTGAGCCAATTTTCTAGATGACTGAGGTAATGTTGAAGAAGGAGCTGGACAACAGTAACAGTAGAAGCTTGGGTCATAATTGCAGTATCATCAGCGAAAAGAGCAATGATACTTTGTGGGTCCTTAGGAATATCGTAAATGTAAATGTTATATAAATATGGTGAAAGTACAGATCCTTGGGGCATTCCAGCGAAAATTTTTCTCGTGGAAGAAAATGGCTCCGGTAGGGAACTTACAATTGAAACCGTCAGTAATATAGTTGATGACACGAAGCAGCTGGTAATTAGTACTCTGAAGGTGACGGAAGGCAAACTGTTCTTCTGGAATGTAGGATCTCTGTGGAATAATTTGATTAAGATGAAATAGAATAACTTTTTCAGCTATTTTAGAAAGTCCCAGTAAGTCCATTCACAGATTTGTCAACAAATCAAACCTAATGATCGAGTAGTCTGTAAGGAATTGTAGACATTCTTGACCGTAATAGTAATGACGATCAAGCTCTTCAGAAAATTATAGTCATTGATGAAGCATTTCATGTTTTAGGGGAGCTTAGGCGACATAACTGCAAGATTTGGTGGTCAGAAAACCCGCACTGTGTGAGAGAAATTGAGCTGGGTAACCCTAAAATTAACGTTTGGTGCGCAGTAACTAATAACTAAATGATTGGTCCCTTGATTATCTCCGAGTCGTCAATGGGTAAAAGGTGGGCCAATTTCAAACCACCCCGTTTTCGAGACGCTACACCACTTAACTTTTTTCTGTGGAGATACCTAAAGGACCCAGTTTATGTTGCAGGGATTCACAACTTCGAAGAATTAAAAAATCGAATCACTACTGAAACAACTACTGTGTTTCCACAAATGCTTAACAACGTCGGGAGAAATTGACAGCAGACTTGATATTTGAGGAACTAAATAGTGCTCATGCTGAAGTGTATTAATATAAAATTCACTCAGCCTTTTTCCTTTTCTTATTCTGTATTATTTAAAACATATCTTTATCCCGTGAATAAATTATTGACATCCCGTACTTTAATTAAGAATATTTTTGTACCTTTACGTGAAAAATTCCAGAAATCAAAACATTCTTTTACGTCGGACTTCTTTACTGAATAACAATGCCTACGTATAAATATTTTTAAATGTTTTATAATCTAAAATAAGTTAAAACTGAACTACTTCCGATTATTACGGTGGCCAGATTTTCGGCTGTATTTACTAAAATCAAATAATGCCTAGTTCTTTTTAATCTAGTTTACAATACGTTATAATATATCTTGTTTTACCTATTTTCAGAAATAAACTGCAGATCGACAGAAAATAACTATTTTCAGATATACCGGCCGTGGCTAGGGTCAGAGCTGTGGCTAGGGTTTTCAGCGTCAGCGGACAACTGAAGGTTTTGTGACAATAATTGAAAACATTTCATTCTAAAGTTTCGAAACATTAAATTTGGCGCCCCTTGGATGCTGCGCCCGGGAATACATGTTCCCCCTTATAGCACCTTAGCCACGCTACTGCCGGCAGCACATACAGCTATTCCTCTTGCCTTAAGATAATTCCTTTATCGGAATATTTCCATGAGCTTCCGAATATTCGAACTAAAATTTTGAGATAATAATGATTCACCATTTGTGCTAGTTTCTAATTTTTTTTATTTCAGAAGGGATTAAATATAGATATATTTTACTGTTTTAAGCTGAATACGACTATAGTTATAGTAAAAAAAATCTCAATAATCTTCGTTCTTGAAGTCTCAATAATAAATCTAATTTTTATAATACATTATAAATAAAACAGAAATACAGAAACCTAAGGTTTTTCCTACCTACCATATAGACAAGCTTGAGATTTGATAGTCATTACAGAAAAGATATTGCATGATACAAGTAGTTTGGATAATAAGTTAATTGACATAAACAGATCTCTCAAAAATCGATTTCTGCAACCCAAAAAACTTCTATCTGATCCTTCGAATTACAAGTTAATATTTGATAGCTGTCAAAAATTAATACACATGAAGTATAATCCTTCAGAAAATTTTTATCTCTCTCTCGCTCTCTCTCTTTTTTTATAATGATAAATAAAAGGGAAGAACTTTGCTTAAAGGCACACATAAATAATTACTTAATCAAATTTTAGATGTTCTTAACAATTTATTTTTTTTATTTATTTTCTTCTAATTTTCTAAATTTTTTTATCTCTTTCTTAAATGCTCTGCAAATAGTTTTCTTTAAGTTCCACTACTCATGACACAGATGCAGGACAAACAGAAAAGTGTTTACTTACACATATGTAAACTTGAGACAAATTTCATAAAAATTTTGAATTCTGTGAACTGAATTTTAGCAAAACAGAGATCTGTTAGAAATCATATCGTTCTGCTTTCCTTTTCAAATAAAAAAAGATTTTCTAAATGTTATTGAACAGTCATTACTAAGATATCAAAGCCATTAAAAGCCAAAAATAAATTCAGTGTTCCAAAACTCAGCATAAAAAATATCCATTCAGTGATCTAGTAACTTTCACTATAACTCAGAAATCATTCCTAGAATGGATAGTGTAACATTTAACTCTAAAAATAAGAACAGGAAAGTCATAGTTAAATACCAACATTTACTTACTCTTTCATTCCAAACCTCCAGTACAAAACAATCAGTTGCACTGAAGATACATTTGAAAGGAATTTTCTCCTCTTACCATGTGCCTTCATAGTTTAATTTGAAGTACATTCAGCTAGCATCAAGAGGTCCAGAGTTTAAATCTTGGTGAGAGCACTGCATTTTTTTTTTTTTTTTTTTTTTTTAATGTGTCCTGTTCCAAAATAAACCTAACAACTCTACACCTTGATGAAGAATCAACTCAAATATTTTGTCAATTTTAAACTCTCAGCTATTTTATTCTGTGTGTCTTATTTTAATGGGAAAAGAGTAAATCAAAGATATATGTTTTCCAAATGCATATCTTTTCAAATGACATTTTTTTTGTTCTAATAAGTTTAATTTAAATGTTTTTGTTCTAATAAACAAAGTACTATTATAATTAGAAAGGTAAATGAAAGATTTTATACCTTATGGTTAATCTACATGGACTAAGATCTTTCATTTATTTTCCTACTGTTAATAGTACTTTGCTTAGTTAGAACAAAAATATAAGTTATTTGAAAATATCAAAATAAAATATTATCTGAAACACCTGAAAGAGTATTAAAGATGTTTAGCTAAAAAAGTATATTCAGTTATCCAAAAGCAGAAAAACTTATCTTTGTTTATTTTATCAGCTTACAATTTATTTAACATGTTCAATGATAATTTCTTGAATTTTTATCAAAAATGTATATCACTAAGTCAATGCAAGATTTATAAAGTGAACAAAAATAACAACTGCTGCCCAGAAATTTTATATCTGGTTGCTAAGTCAATGGCATTATAAGGAAAATATACTAAGGAACACATAACACATATTAAACAGTAGAATATATGTTTATTATAAAGCACTTTGTAAATGTAACAAAATTCACTAATAGATTTTTAAAAAATCTTTTCACAAATCTTCATTTTAACCTCTTTTCTTGCAACAAGATTACACACAAAAATTGTTCTGGAAATATGAAAACAAATAGTGTGAATAGTATATTACATATGAAAATAAATAATTTTTATTACAATGATTATATAAACTGTGAGAATATGAAAGACAAAAATAATTACGAACATCAAATTTTAGAATTTTTTTATTCTAACTATTCAGTAAATGCAAGAGCCATAGTTCCTGCAAATTTTTATTTAATAATTGAAAGTAATAACTAATTTCATAAACATCATAAAAGATGCATATGCCTAATCATAAAAAATGTTTTAGATTTTGTTAAATATATTCCATACAAATAGTTATGTTATCAAGAGCTTTCATATAGCAAAAATCTATATTTTATTACTTTCTATAAATATTTCAATTACAAATTATTTACTTTCATATTTCATTATTCCACTATTCCAGCATCATATAAAAAAGTAGTTACTGAAAAACATAAACTGACGAACAGTGTACTAAAAGACATGTAAAAAAATTTTTATATTTTTTATACATTTCTTCAGTCTTTTTTTTTTTTTTTTTTTTTTGTTCAGTCTTCAGATACAATAAAACAATTATATTAATTTAAAAATGCTAAAGAACATAATAATCTTTTTGAAATTAAGTAAGTATATATATAATATCTTCTTTCCTTTAATACTATGCTTTTAATTCAACTTTTTCAGCAAAATCTTGAAAAATATTTTTCTCACAATTGTTAACTTTAAGGACTAGATTCTTGAATGTAAAAATCTAAAGGATTATTGTTTTTTCCATACATCTTCTTCACATTCTAAATGAAGAACTTATTGTAGAAAAGTAGCATGTTAACAAATGTAACAGTTCTATAAAATTTTCAGTTCATTTAAGTGCAGGACTTTTTTTTCCCTTACAAAATTTTTAGTCAAAAGTTATGGTTTTAGGAGCATCTTCAAATGCATAATATTTATGATCAATGGAATTTTCACCTAATTTCACAACCCTAAATCCAGATTTATCTATTCCAAGCTGGCATCCTACAGCTGACGTAACAATTACCTCCAGATCTTTATAAAAACCTCCAGCATTTCGATGATAATGGCCACAAAATATTGCTCTAACATCTAAGGGAGAAAAAAGCATATGGAAATACTTAATGTCATGATTAAGGGGAAACAAATAATGTATATTAGTATCCATTAATTATTCCAAACATGTAATATATACTAGATATATTGCATGTTTGGAATAATTAATGGATACTAATATGCATTTAATTCATATTAGTATATCTTGCCTATTACAGACATATACATAATGTTTTGTAAACAATAAACATACATATACATACACAATGTTTCATAAAAGTGGCTACAGATTTTACATTCTTACACATACCTTAGACATACAACTGTCAATAAAAATAATATACAAAGCTTTATAGCTTCATCACTTTGGATGGAAAGACTTTGTAAAAAAAAGATCGAACCTTTCATAATTTCTCCATATCATTAAAGTTCAGGTAGTTAAACACATTTATTACAAATTAATGAATTAACAATAAAAATTCTACACTTTTTAATGCAAAAGTCACACAGCATACTTTCAGATAAATTCACAAAATAATCAAATAAATTTATTACATCACATATTAAACATAATCAAACATTTCAAATTTTCTACATAATCAAACATCCTCAAATAAATTTCCTACAAAACAAAAAACTCTAAAACTTCATATTACTGAACATACATTTTATTCCTTATATCCAAAATAAATCAATAAAATGTGTTTATCACAGACCTAATTTTTTACGTATGACCTACTTTCAATACTTTTTAATATCCACCTTTTAAAAAATATGCTTAATTATAATTAAAATACATGACCGATTCCGAACAGATTTAGAACATTTAAAGTTTCTCCTTTATCTAAAAATTATACTGATCTTTCAAACAGAAAGGAATTTGGATAATTTTAAGTTCTGAAAAATTCAAATTAAATCATTAGTCTCAAAGAAGAAATTATTTCTGAAATACTTTTAATAATTTCAAATGCTTGATGACTGATAATGCAATTGTTGTAGAAGTGCAAACATACATTTCTAAGATTTATCAAATACTGTCTTAAAAGACTTATGAAACTTTTAGTTAAAAATTTAGTGGATAAAAAAGCAGAAAAAAGATTCAGGGCATATTACTTATTATCTTTCTTATGGGCAGATCGATTACCAATCAAGTTACATAAATATCCCTTATTTTATGGAATTTTAGGTCTCTACAGTGTCAGTATCAACACTGTTACTTTCTCTTAAAGTATGTTGTATGTTAGTGAAAGTATTTATGTAATGCAAACTTTTAATTAAAACTAACTTATCTAAGAATCAAAGGTTAAAAATTTAGTTTTAAAACAATTTACTTACTAGCTTCATAGAATTTTTCAAGCATTTTCTTTCGAAGTTCAGGTATGATATTAAAGTATTCCTTTTTCTCATCAGGACACTTTAAAAACCAAGGAATATGTTGGAATATTATAACATGCTTATAATTCCCAGACTTTGCTTCTTCTAATTGTTTATCCAACCAAGTTTCTTGTTCTTGTGCCAAATCTTCCACCTAGAATATAAAATATAATGTATGTTTTAAACATAGTAACAGTACCATGATCCGGATTTGTTGGAACTTCAGTGATTCCCAATTTTGAATTTTTCTGGATCCCAAACAGATCACCAGTTTAAATCTTGTAAGATGTCACTTAGAAATTATAAAATTAAAAGTATGAAATAATGAAGCATTTATGACCTTAAGAGAATCAAAATTTACAAAAAATGTTTAATACTTACTTATTCACTTTATTAAATACTTCTTTCTAAATAGGTTGTTTAAATTGTTTTGTTTTTTGTGATAATACTTTCTCTTTAATTCTAGAGACAACCATAATTTTTTGTTCAGATACAAAGTTCTATTTTTCAAATCTTGTAATTGCTGTTTGAGAATTCCCACTAAATTGTCAATCAAAATTTTTCATTCTCAACCTGTCTGCTTTCTTTACTATCAGTAGTGACATTTTCTGGATTTAGAACCATAATATGGATTTCATCATCTGCTAGTTGATTCATGATTAAGGAATTGTAATCACAATGAGAAATTTGTATTATTCAATTACAATTCATTTATTAACTTGTCTCCATATTTCTCCACAAATTCCATTAGATGGAAAATTTCACTCTTTGTTTACTGTATCTGAAAACCTTCAAAATCCCAGTTATTCTATAGCTCGCTGACTTGCTGCTAAACCTCAATTGTATTACTTTATATAATTATTATATTTATGCCTATTTAATATACACAGTTTAACAGTATAAATGTATGCTTAATTAAAATTTATATTTTCAAACTTTTCAGAGGAAGCAATTCTGTGCTCATAAATAAATTATTCTGGTGATGATTTCTACTTGTTCCATGACATTAAATGAAAATACAGCATGTTCCAAAAGTCACTGACAATATTTAGAATTGTCAGAAAATAACCATCCGGGGGGAAAAAGGAAGATAAAGATAGCAAAGATTGCTAGAACAGAAATTCACTTAAATACAATATATTCCTACTATACATACATTTCCATAACTAAATTTTTCAGATTTATTGAGGATGTCTGAACCACTTTATACTATAAATGAAAGGGTTACATGAATGTAAGATTGACACCTAAGCAAGAATAAAATGCCAGAACTACTGTGAAGAATAAACAGTAATATATAGTATACAGGATTAATATAATAGTTATTCAGTTAATTGATTAAAGCAAAGCAAGCAAGAGCTAACTGCCTCAGGGAGAAAATGCCTTCAAGGCTAATCTAAAACATAAGCATTAATAAATATTTTTCTACTTAAATTATTTTTAAATATAAATCTTATATGTGCTTCATTCTTATGCATCATATTTAAAATCACTCTTCTAACTATAAATGTCATTCAGATAGTCTAATTTAAACAGAATTTTTCAAAGCAAGTGCTTTTAAAATAAGATAAATATACAAATGCACACATTAAAAAAACTGAAGTTTTCATGTTAAAGCAGCAATAAATTTAGCTGGCAAAACTAGCATATTTAAATCACCAAATCTGTTATGTGCAAATTTTAAATATCACTAAAGTGACACTTACGTAATGGTTCTTTTAGTGAGGAAGTAACAAAAATTTAATAAAAATCAGAAATCTTTTTAAAGCTTCAAACTTTTAAGTTTGCTTCAATTTAAACTTCAACAATATAATATTATTACACATTCAAAATATATTGTCACTGTTGCACCAATTAATCATATATAAAAAAAAAAATTTTGTTCAAAAATTACAAAACAGAAGATCTTTACATGCATTTTACAGAACATCTTTACATGCATTTTAGTCTAAATGGCATGTAAATTGATACACAAACTACTACTGTAATAACAACATTATTTCTTTCTTAATATAACACTGAAATTTATAGCTTCAATGTAAAGGGAAGAAAAAATTATGCAGGACATTATATTCAGCACCAGGCTAAAAGAAATCTGCTTTCTTACTATAATAATAAGGGTTATTTGTGATTTTTTTTTCCAAACTCACCAAACTAGGATCTTCAAAGAACTGTGAATTAAGTACTATGAACATTACACCTTCAGAGTAAAAGGTAAAATAATCATCACCAAATCTGTCCTGATAACTTTGTACAGTTGCTGGAGTTGGTGTGTTTCCTAAGTCATGATTTCCACATACACATACCAGAGGAATATCAGGATGTAATTCTTTAAAAACACGGATGAAATCTTCCTCCTGCGCAGTACGATACTTAGTCCCTAAAATGGGAGAAATATTTGTTTTTTTTTAAGCATAGACTTTAAAAAAATTGTAATACACTTTCAAATGGCAACTCATATTTAAAATAATTTTTAAATGAAAGTTCACAAGCCAGTTATTTTAAATATTAATATATAACAGGTATAGTTTTTATTAAAAGAAATATCAAATTTCCAATGAAAATTCTAAAACATCAAGAGTGTTATAGTAGATTGAAGGATGCTCCTTGTATTATAGCAAAGTTGTTGTTTCATTTACCGCCAAGTTGTTGCTTCATTTATGGTAACCTGAGTAGTTGAATGTTATGAAAACCCTATTATGACGTAATGAATTGCGTGACTGCTGTAAATTTTGAATGATGGGAAAATGATTTGTAAGGGCTTGTGGTGTGTGTTGGTTACGAAATACATTGATTGTTTTGTGGTTTAGACCAGGGTTTCTTAAACTGTGGGTCACGACCCCCCAGCAGGGGGTCACCAAACATTTTAGCAGTTTTATATTTCTTTAACTTATTGTAATAATTTTACAATTACCAAATATTTTTACACAATGTATCTGAAAATAGATAAAAATAAGACAATACAGACAAAAAAAAAAAAAAAAGAAAGAAAAGAAAAAAAAAAGAAAAAGGTTTGACGCATTCTTTTTATAACATAAGCACTCATTTTCCTTGCTTTGCACGTGACTCTGTCATTTCATCTGTTACATATTTAAAATTTTTACATCTTTCTACATCTTAAAATAAGAAATTAATGACATAAAACTGCAATAGTACAGTACAAGTGAAAAAATTGATAGTTTCAGTCACGCGTGTGTCAGATTTTCGCAATACTTACGGGGTCCCACAGAATTTTTGTAAATATTAAGGGGTCCTGGGGGTCACAAAAAATCTCAGTGACAAAAAGGGGTAGCGACTGAAAAAAGTTTAAGAAACCCTTGTTTAGACGGTAGAATGGCTCAATGTTGTAAGATTAATTTGAATTTCTGTACGATTTGGAATGAAAGAGGAAATGTGCATTAATTGACAAGTATGTAAGTGAACATTTACTTAGTAGCCATTATAAGTGTCCTATTTGTAGGAAGGAAATGCGTATGATTGAACGTCGGGGGTTATTGGCATTAAGGAGGATATTTTTTACTCTTATTTTTATGAAAATTATTACGAAAATTATTATTTTTATAAATTTATTACAACGGATTCTAGTTCAGATAGTTTTAGGAAGTTTTTGGATGCTGTTAAGGAATTTTGTGTGCCACAGACCGAAGGACTCGGAAATTTCTAAATAAGCTAAATGGATATTTGCTTTATGTAGTGCTTAGATGCATAAGATGAATTTCCCTTTTTGTGTTATTTTATTGTTTGATTTAAAATGCAGTTTATTGAGATTATGTATTTTTTGTTTGCCTCTACTGCAGAATTGGGTGCTCGTTTGACTTTTTTACTGAGGATAGATTGATGTGTACATGGGTAAAGCCAAGGGAGTGCGCTATGCCAAGTTTGTGCAATTCTCTGGGTTTTTTTTTTTTTTTTTTTTTTTGTGAAACTAAGTTGATGTGTACATGGATAAAGTCAAGAGAGTGCACAATGCCAGGTTTATGCAATTCTCTGATTTTTTTTTAAGTGAAAATAGGTCGATATGTACATGTATACGAGTTTGTGCAATTCTTTATCTTTGCGTAGCGCCAATTTTTGTATGGATACCGAGTTTGTGCAATTCTTTGACTTGTTATTTTGTCTTTGTGTAGCGCCGATTTTTGGCCACAAAGCCAAAATAACAAGTAAAAGAACTGCACAAACTCTGCATCCATGTACCATCAAAAATCGCCAATTTTCACCAAGAGACACCAGTAAAATATTTTACCATCAAGAGCTTTGTACAGCTGCTGGAGCTACCTTTTTATCTAAACGCAAACACATACAACATATACATAGAGAAGAAGAGGAAGAGGGGTTCTCAACCAATGGTAAGCATACGCAAGAGAAAAATAGGTGGTAAGCAAAGATGCAAAGTATTTTTAACTACTAAATTCAAAAATTAAAACCCCAACATCCTGATTGAGTTTTTTTTTTTTTTTTTCTTTAACACTCATAAATTTATGCGATCTGAGCTTTGTTCAGTTGCCGCTCATAGACTTTAGCAAGAGGCGAACGATCTGTCTGCATGGCAGTTTTCGTTGTTCTTCCATATTGTACATTTCACAAATATTCTTTTAACCGTAGACATAACAAAATTTACCATAAATGATGTTTTAAAAGAAATGATAGAAATGGATGCTGTATTTAACAGGAAATAAAAATAAGTTCCTATAAAAAAGATAATAGTATCTCAATAATTGTCTTGAGTTTATCGATTTATTATTAGCATGCCTGCACTATATATCGCCATTTCCAGGCTCAAATTGCTCCATTTTTAATGAGAATAACTTTTTTGTGTGTGCCAGTTTGTTGTCTCTAACAGTAGGTGTTCTGTCTTCTTGTAACTTTGCATTCCTTAGTTTTAATAATGTTATCTTCAACCAAACATGGCCACTTGGAAGTGAATTTTGAAATTGTTTTATTACCTATTTCAAATTTTGCAAAACTTTAACAGATTTTTGATTAACAAACTCAATGATTTCAAAGCGAGCAATAGCAATCCTGCACGGAAAAAAAAATTATCTCCAGCATGTGAGACTATGTAGCGGAAATTCTAAAGGTATGCTGTTTTGTTGTTTTTAAATAGTTTGTGACATTGCTGTTGAATTTAATTTTATGTGTTTTAAGTGTGAAGAACATGATATTTAATAAATAAAGGTAACACACAAAATGTTAAAAAAAATGCCCTTTTGGGAGTAATATAAAATCTGAAGGCTTTCAGATTTTTTATTTTATTTTTATTAGTCCAAAGGGGCAATTTGACCTGAAGGACTATTATTTTTGTTTTGGCATTTTGCATTGGTTCACTTAAAATATCCGATTCACTTTTCAAATTGTTGCCGCCAAATATTATCGCCCTGTATTATATTTAAAGAAATTAAATAATGAAGAATCTGCATAAATGTATGTATGTGTCTCGCATTGTGATAAAACAACGGTACCTACAGCCTTTAAATTTTGAAAAACGTAATCCTCCAAACAAATATGGGCATTTGGAAACCCTAATTTGGAATTTGTTTTATTATCAATTTCATATTTTGCAACACTTTAACGAATTTTTGATTAACAAACTCAATGATTTCAAAGCAAGCAATGGCAACTCTGTATGGGGGAAAAAATTAGCTCCAGCACATGAAACTGTGCATGGGAAATTCTAAAGATATGCTCTTTTAAATATTTTGCAATATTGCTGTTGAATTGAATTTTATGGTTTAAGTGCGAAAAACATGATATTTAATAATTAAAGACTAAAAAAACGTTAAAAAAATGCCTTTAGATGTAATATGAAGTCTGAAAGCTTTCAGATTTTTTTTTAAATATTTCTTTTCAGAAACTGAAAAATAATCATTATAAAATGTATTAGTGGTACTAAGGTTTTCAATTTTTGTTTAGATGGTACGTGCTAGTCAAAAAGGTTAAGAACTGCTGCTCTAGAACATAATGTATTATGTTATCTAGTATATCATGTATTATGTTGTATGTTTGATCAAATAACCTAGTTCAACAGTGTTTTTTAAACACTGTTGAACTAATGGTCATTGAAACTAAAATATTTATACATTTATTAAAATAAAAAGATGCAATGTAAAAATACCACCAAAGTGCATTTTCGAAAACTATATTTCACATTCTTCAAATTTAATTTTACTTTTTCCTTCAAAATATATCTACGAGCTACAATAAAACACTAAAAGAAAATTACTGCAATGCATATGATAGAATATTTTTCATTGGATGTTAATATATCATAAAATATATCACTTGTTAGAATGTCAGTTATTTGCACTTCAAACATCCAGAATTTAGTTAATCTAGTTGATTTATTTACCTTTTTAACTTTTCATTAATTTAAATAATATATGTAGATAACACAGTGCAGTACATGTTTTTAAGAAGTTATTAAGTCAAGATTTACACAGATCAGGGTATAAAAGGTAGACTGGCTTACAATGTATAACCTACAAAATAAGTAGCAGATAAATATGAACAGAAAAGTAATTGCATCCTACATAAAAGCCTACTATTCTCTGTTTACTCCGTTAATCATTACTGAAGTACAACAAGTGCTCATTTTCTAAATAAATAAACAAATGCAGTGGTGTTATAACAATTCCTTTCTCTAAAGGTAATTTTTATCTTGCATTGTGCAGCAAACCTGCAATCAGTTACTTCTAGTGGTCAAAGAAATGGAAAAAAAAAATTAATATCATTGATTAACATCTTATAACATTTCACAATTTGGCAACAGAACCTTTCTGAAGTACCAATGTATTGAGAAAGTACCTATAATAACTGCAATCTTCAACGGCAATATTGTCAGCAATTCCACTAGCATACATAATTTTGTTAATAATAATAACTTAACAAAAATATGCATATTTTTAATAATCTGCTTTATTGACTTCAAAAAGTAAAACAAATTAAAGTCCCCAAATGAATATACAATGCACTCTCGATTATTTGGGTGCGAACTATCTGTGTGGCTGTGATTACGCACACATACTCAATGCAAAATAAGAGATTGTATAAAAAATAAAAATGTGCAAGTCCAAGCATGCTTCCTAATATAGAAATCAGAGATTTATATAACTGTGAGGTAATATCAAAGCAAAAAATTGCATGACAAAAAATTCAGAATATAAAATTACTTGAAACAGTTGATTGAAAAAACATCAAGGAATAGTTCGATGGCAATTTGGCTGAACCAGGCTTTCAATGTTTGAAGAATGTGAACATTGTTTCAAATGACACAAGAACACAAGAGACAGAAAGTGCCACTGAAAATACTAGCAAAGAAGGTACTGACAATTACATTAGCCCAGAAAGTGCGTTTTTGATCTATTGCAAAAATAATATATTTTATCTGTTGAGAAAATATGTAATATTTATAAAATGAATCAATTAAACAAACAATAGAGCTTTAAAAATGCCTTACATTAAAAAGGAACAAAGAATATGGAAATATGCTCTGTACTAGAGGCTTTATATATGCTGTTACAGCACCCACGTGAGACTTTCTACGCTCGCAAATTCAAAAAAAAAATTGGAATTCTTGGAATTATTACACGAGTGCTCTTTTGTGAAGATTGGTACTTCGCTAAAATATCAAAAGCACTAAAAATCTAAAGCACTAAAAATAAACAACAACTGTCCCAAATATGCTGCAATGTAAAAATATAAGGTACATGTATATATCTAAGTTACAAATTTTTGCATGATGAAACATAGCACAAATCACAAAAGGTTAATTATTCAAACAAGTCAATCCAAAACTACCATCATAGCAATTATTAAAAAAATAACATTGAAAAGTATACACATGCAACAGCTGTTTCAAAAATGCCAAGATATAAGACCAACAAAATCAGGATGAAACAATGAATGAGATAAAGTTTTAGAAGTAATTGCATGTAAATGCAAAAAAAAAATGCTAATTAAAAAGTCATGTCAAAATAAAAACGAAGTCTAATCAAATTATACAAATAACTTTTTAAATGGAATTAAAACATAAATCAAATTTACCTGGCATTGCATCTATGAGATCCCCACATACTATGAAAAAACGTGGTCTAGGGGACATAGCATTAATCGCTTCAATGGCTTCCTTTGCTAAGTCTATTTCTTTATCCCAAGCAGGATTAGGAAGATGCTTAATATAAGTGTCAATCATACCAAATTGAGTGTCAGCTCCTTGAATGAAAAAAAAGGGGCCTTTCCATACTTTATTTTGCTCTAAACAAAAGAAAAATTGTTGATTCAGCATTCTATCACAAAAATGAATGCTACATTCAATATACCACTTTTTGTTATTCAAATCTTGCTAAATTACATCATTAATCTAAATTACAAATAAAATACATCATGATTAATAAAACATATAATATAGTAATTCTATGTGAGACACAGTTGTAATAAAAATTACTACTTTAATACAGTGCACATTCTGAAGCTGCTGCTAGAAAAATAAAAATTAGTGGTACTTACGTATTACTATTACCATGAAAATTTCGCCAAGCAATGTGCACCAGCAGTGAATAAAGGTGACATAATGATACACTTATAACATCCAGCTTTTGTTTGATGTAACATCAATTGATTCTTGATAAGCTATATTTTGCTTTTATGAAAAAGGATATACAGTCAAAAGTCGTTAATTCGGACACCCATAATCCGGAATGATCTATAATCCGGACCTCAAAGCTACAAACTTTCTGCGCATGCGTCGCTTTGACGCATGCTCGTAAGACCTTTACAGCTGAGAATATGCATGTGTGCATGCGCATAATACATTTACGCATGCACGTTTAATGTATAACGGACGGTATAAGCTAAGCTAAAATTATCTAATTCAGTTAATGCTGCAGATTGCGTTGTTCCTTAATCTTCGAATTGGAGCCGGCTTATTATTTTTTGCAGACTGTTAGAGCAATTTTATAAAAGTAATCTTAAACTTTCATTTATGTCAAATAGAATTTCTGATATATATTTACTAATATGTAAAAGATCTACAAAGCGAAAGTATGTTTCGAAGTCCATTAAATAAAAAGTGGAATTGCTGCAAAAAATGGATAAAGGCATATCCTTCGTTTCTCTAACCATTCCGAAATCTGCTTATCAATTTCACGCTGTTCTGCGGCGGGTGGGCGGGGGGAAACGCCGCAGCGTGCAATAAATTGGAAGTTGATCTGTCAGCACTATACTTATCTTCAGGGCCGATGTTTTTATTTTATTTGGCTTATAATTCTTTACTAAATGTAGTATTTCATCTCGATGTACTCCGTCTTTGATATGATTTAAATCAAATTCCTCATCATTATAATTCGCTTCCGATAGTGAAGAAAGTGACTCAGAGCTTATTGAAAACGAAAAAATTTTGATTGACAAATTAGTCGGTATTCTCGACACAGCAACTATAGGACTTGAACAGCGGAACTTTGTAACTGAAAAAGAAATTATGTCAGTTTATAGAATTAAAGAGAAAGTATTATCACATAAAACGAAGCAACTTAAACAACTTGCATTGAAAGAAATGTTTTATAAAGTAAACAAATAAATATTAAGCTTTTTTTTTTTTTTTTTTTTTGTAAATTTTGATACCCTTTAGATCATAATTGTTCTTTATTTCATAAATTATGGTTTCATATTTTTAATTTTATAATTTCTGCATGCCATCTTCCCAGATTTAAACTGATGATCTATAATTCGGAAAAATCGATAATCCGGAATCGCCGAAGTCCTGACGAGTCCGGATTAATGACTTTTGACTGTATATTAACTGTTATTACTATATTTTTTTCTCTGACTTTTGAAAAAGAAATGATTTAAATTTGGGACTTGCCTCCTACAAAACAGCAAGCAGAGAATTATTTTTAAAGTTAAGGGATCCTACTATAAAAAAAAGAATACATTTATAAACATGACTAGGTCAGTTAGATATGAGCAGCAAAACAATAATAGACTGGAACGATTACCATGGAAAGTTTGTAGTACTTATAGCATCCTAGATACAGCTTCTAATAAACAAGCCTAACAAAACAGTAGAAATCAAAGGAACCCTTCCACCTGAAACTCAAAAACCAAGTGGATTGAATTTGATTGTTTATTAAAAAAAAAAGAAAAAAGAAAGAGGCCTCAATTCCATTCAGAATTCTACAAGAACAATTAGCACAAGGCACAAATTTGGTGGGATTTCTGACAAATTTTCTATACCTTTCATAACTAACAGGATAATATGTAAGTACCAAATTAGTCAAGTATAATTATGAAAATCTTGTTGGGATTTGAATAAAGCATTAGAAAAAAATTAAGGTTGGATCCTAGCAGAGCCCATACCTTTGCTGTGCAATTATATGGTACGTATCTATGTATACATGGACAAAGTCAAAAGAATGTGCAATGCCAAGTTTGTGCAACTCTCTGATGTTTTTTTTAAGTGAAAATTTTTCGATGTGTACATGGGTACCAAGTCTGTGCAATTCTTTGACTTGTTATTTTCAAGTTGCCAATTTTGAAAAACGCGTGAAGCAGTGGGTGATTCTGCACTTTCCCAGTTTGTCACCAAGAGTGTGGGCTCTCCAAGGATTTTACCAAAAATTAAATATTAGAAAAAACTCCATTAATGTTTTGTCAATTACATATAAGAAACAGAGAATGGTACTTTGGTATTTTCGCAACCACCTTGGTAGAAGTCGCCAAACTGTGGCAACCATGCACATAGCAATTCTTCAAGTAACCACACCAGTAATTGTAAGTTTGAATAAGTAACATCACCATTTTTGTACATGCTGTTTTAGTTATATTAGAAATTCTAAAGGCAAACTGCGATATTTTTGGTCTTAAGTTGAATTTTGAAATATGCTCTTGTGAGATCTGTCTGAAAACGAAGAAAGTTCTGTGAAAGTTTTACAGGAATTTAATATTTTGCCACAGAGGCAGGAATGTTCAGACTCACATTTCATGATACTGGATTTTGAAAGGCAACCTTTCTGGAAATGCAACGCAAAAAAGTGTAAGGAACACGTGAGCATTTGAAGCAGTAATTGGTTTGAGAATAGTCATCTGCCATTTACAACAGTAAGATTTGTATACTGCTGGAGTAAAGAATTAATGAGTGTTAAATTTTATCTTGGAAGAGTTAGAAATGGCCAATAAGATTGTTGTATACTTGAATAACTAGATGCAGGAGATATCTAGAACACAGAATAAAGAAGAAACAAAAACCTATTTATAAAAATAAATTGGTAAAATTTATAAAAATTGCTTAATACTTGCGTATTATCCCGTCGACTGGCCAATTAAAGAGATTTAGTGCCAAATATGGATTACTTATTTCCTTTAGAATTCTGCATAAATGATTGGTAACCATTGCTGAAATTTCAGCCAACAGTCGAGAGTCAAAGTTGGCTATAACAGGACCTTGTGAACGGTGATCCTGTCAAAGTTGCCTCAGTCGTTCATGTTAAATTCAAAAGAACTTTCAGTATTCGATCCACTTCGTGTTTGTTTTTCGTAAAAATGCTTTCGCCAATTTCTGCTATTTTACTAGGTTATTATTTATTTTCTGTTTAGAACGTGTTGAGCACAAACTTCACTGGTAATATTTCCAATCTGTTATTGTTTTGTTTGCCATATTCAACTGACAATATCTTGTCCATAAATACACACTTTTTCTTTAATGAAAGGATCCCTTAACTTTGAAAACAGACCACTGTTTTCCATTCTGTAGAAGACAGACCCAACATTTTAATCCTTTTTTTTTTTACAAAATGCAAGGAAGAAATACAGGAAGAACAGTTAATTTATATCCTTGTTCATAAAACTAAAAAAAAAAATCAAGAATCAGCCTAGCTTACATTAAACAAAAGCACAGATATAACGAGTGTGTTCTTGCATCACGTTTATCCATAACTGTTGAAAATCACACTCCGTAGCAACAGTTTTCAAGGTAGACGGTACAAGCGACAGGTTTCAAGGTAGTACATTTCATAGTTTTGGGGAGAAAGGGGGAATGTGGTCTGCCTTTTATTTAACTGTCAAGTATTGTTGCTGTTGTTGTCCATATTACATGGAACAATGGTTGCCAGAGAAGGTTGGACTTCTATTTTCCACCTCTAATTTTGTAGGAGAGCTAACCCTGGAGGGGGGGATCCAGGGGTCTCCCACCCCTCACCTCACCCACCAATCCACATGAGAGAAACAAAAGCGACTAGAGAAACCAAAAATAGCATCAGATAAAAATAAAAATTAACACTTAAAGAAAGCCTCATAAACACATTTTGATTTGAGTCTTTCATTAACTTGCTTTTGTGTGCTCCTTCAATTAGATTGTCAATCTGACAATGAATACAATCAACAATGTAAAATTAAAATTTGATTAACCATGCTAAAACTAACATTCTTAATGTAAAAATATATAGTTTTCCATATACTCTAATATTACTTTACACAGAAAAATTAATTTATAGAAAATGGAACAACATGCACCATTTCACATAATCAAACAAATTATACTAAATGTGAGTTACAGCATTGTATTAAAGTTATAAGTCTTAAGCATAATTAGCTTAGTCCCCACCCCCAAACTCTGAGCAGTATCTTTGGCTGATCTTTGGAATATGGTAACAGATAGTTTGGTGACATTTTGGAGGCGATAAAGGTTACTACCTAGGACTTTGGGAATAATGTGAGAAGTACTGTGTTCCGATTACGCATTATTTTGTGTGAGGGAAATGAGAGATCATAAGATATGTCATGTGACATTAATGGACGAATCAACTGTTCTTTAATCGGAAAAGGGTGTAAATTTTTAAAAATATCTGCTGTACAGCATTTGTTTCATTCTATGTTCTGTGAAACAGTGTTGTTTAATATTTGGATACCATGGCCCTATATAAAGTAAATCCGAAATTTTTATTCCGTTTATGTGTAATTGAAAAGAATTGCTTAATAGCGAATAAGTATGAATGTCCAACATGTGGGTATGAAATGAGATTGTGTGAAAGGAAGAATATTACAGATAGTTTGAATGGCGTTAGATAAGTTTGAATGGCGTTAGATAAGTTTGAATGGCGGTGCAAGAAATCTGGTGAAAATGGACATTTTGTGATCTGCCATGCACTGAAGATTCTGTAGAAGATTAGGTAAGTTAGTATTTTTAATTATTTGAAGATATTATTTTTATGCTTTGTTCTAAATCTAAGGGTAAATAATTAATTTGGTTATTGGAAATTGTATTAGCAATGATTTAGTTTAAAGTAATTAGGATTGTAAGCTAATTTTTATTAATTTAATGTATGTGCTTATTTATATTTTAAGTAGTTTTTTTAATTTAATTATATTTTAATTTAATGATCGTGATTTTGAGAGTTATATGTTTGTAGTATTTTGGAATACGTTTTGAGTAGAAGTAAATGTGCATGGAAAGAATTTGAGTATTTGACACTAAGTATTTGGAACCATTTTTAATGTTTGCGTTAGAAATTGGTAGGTGAGGTTTATAATAGATAATTTAGAGGAAAAGTTTTTGGATATTTTATTTATTTTTATACATCAAATGTTCATCTTGAAAGTGTTATTACTTTTTCGCGATCAGGTAATTTCATATATGTCCTTTTTACCGAATTTAAAGATTCACAAATTTTCATGCATTTTCGTGAAATTTTTCGAATTTATGAGAAAAAAGCAGTGTACATGGATTTAGTGAAGAGTGTGCGCAATGCCATTTTTGTGCAATTCTGGATTTTTTTAAGTATAAATAAGTTGATGTGTACATGGTTTAATTATATTTTAATTAAATTATAGTTATTTTGTGAATTATATGTTTGTAGCAATTTGGTAAACGTGTCAGTGGAAGTAAATGTGCATGGAAAGAATTTAAGTATTTGGAACCATTTTTAATGTTTGCGTTAGAAATTGGTGAGGTTTATAATAGATAACTTAGAGGTAAAAGTTTTTGGATATTTTATTTATATTATATGTGGAAATGTTCGTCTTTGGATAGGGTATATAATTTTTCGCGATCAGGTAATTTCATATACTATGTGCTTTTTACCGAGTTTAAAGATTTACAAAATTTTCCTGCATTTTCGTGCAAATTTTTGTAATTTATGAGAAAATAGCAGTTTAGATGGATAAAGTAAAGAGTGTGCGCAATGCCATTTTTGTGCAATTCCTGGATGTTTTTTCAAGTAAAAATAAGTCGACTTGTACATGGTTACTGCGTATGTGCGATTTTGAAAAATGCAGCAAGGAGTTTGCGATTCTGCACTTTTTCCCAATTTTGCAGTTAATATTTGTCATGATTAAGCAGTTTTGTTCCATAGAATTTCTAGCATAAGTGTAATTCGGCTAGTAGATTGTTGGAAAAAGTGTTGAGTAAATGACAAGAAAAGAAACATGTCTTTACTTCGTGAAGACAAAATGGCGGCAAAAATAAAAAAAAACAGAGGGTTGCTGTAGCAGAGTTGGTCGCCAAATTTTCGCCAAAAAATCGCCAAGTTACCATAATCCAAAGATCAACCGTATCTTTTTATTTTTCATTATGGTGCACATTAGCTATAGATTAAAATCTTATAATACAAACAGAAATCTCAGTTAACACTTAAATTAACAAATAATTTATCTAAATATCAGTTACCACTAAAATTAAGATGATAATTTTTCCAATGACTTGCTTCAAAACAAAATATTATTAGATTATCAAGCCTACAAATCTTCCTTAAAGGACTGGATTATGGGATAACTTATTCCAAGCGCATTTTTACTCTGTTTCACTTAGATCCGGTTAATTCCATTACTCAGAGAAGGAAAAAAAAAAAGTCAACAGGAAATTCACATTCTTCATGTGAGCCTATATGAAGATCAATAAAATATAAAAGTATATGCAAATTACCTTTCTCAAAGCCAGGAAATGTCCGATTTTGCGCTTTCCTTCTTAAAATTTCACTTGCCATACCTAATTTTCGGAAGAATTGTCTTACCTGAAATATTCATAACATAAGTCATACATATGTAATTTATGGAAATATGCTTACATGATACTTAAATTTGACTTCCATAATGCTATGTAAACAAAATTTCATGGCTCATAAATTTAAAACTATTTGTAGAAATTTTTCAAAATAAACACAAAATAATTATTAGTCCTCGTTTTCTAACCAAATCATTAAAGTAAAAATTAGCAAGTATCTGTTAAATAAAACTTTCTTTAAATGAAAATAATTCTGCCTTTTATATGATAACCTTTCTAAAAAAAAAGTTTAAAATGCATCGTAAAACTTAAGACACATGAGAAATTTATTAAAAAAAAACTCCAAAATCTTTCGTTTACTTGTTTAAGATTACAACAGCGATTTAATAAATCTCACTTTTAAAGGTCGCATCAGCCAGATGTAAACACTTGAATTCTCAACACATGCATTATAACTTAATCGTCTCCTTCGATCGTGATAAAAGTCACTCTTGTAACATTACTCTTGAACATATAATATATATGTCGTGGATTTTCCGTATAGTTATCCTTTTGAATTTTTAGCAGCTCTAATTAAATTCACAATGCAGCACTGATCTGCTAAAGAGAAGTTCGACACTTAATGACCAAGAAAACTACAATAAAATTTAACTATTGTTAGAACTGCAATTTTAACAATTAACCACACATAAAATACCAATATTATTTATTTATGATCGACCCCTTTTCCGCACTCAAAATACAAGCAGAAGTAATATCTATTCTTATTGGCACAGCACAATATTTGTGAAATAAACATTTGAAGGCATTGAAAGGATGGTATTGAATGAATATTAAACACATAATTATAAAAAAGTTGCAATCTAAAACATTTTACTGACCTAGATACTATTACTATTGAAATCCAACATACCTTTTCAAATTAAATAATAATACACATACACCGAAATAATCTTTAAGACCTTTATACCACCGCATTTTCAAAGTAAACAATAACAAACGGTGCTTCCGCCGGAACTTTGAAATCTGCTTCCGGTTTTCGGTATTTATTGTCTACCTTCTTGATTTCATACTGAAAAGATGTTGATACATATTTATAAGGGTACTTATAAGACAAATTTTCTCAATATTTACATGTTCTGCATTTACAATGTTTGTTCCAATATGACGCGTTTTGGCAACTTGTAGTATTTTTTATTACTAAAATGACTGACATTTGCCACGGTCCGTATTAACATTCATTGATATAATGCCTGTTTGCTTTATTATTCATTATTTAATTTATTGCATCTATTGTATAATCATACGTAGGGCCAACATTAAACGCTAAAATCCGCTGCAAATTTTGAGATTTCGAAAATCTGTCCCTTCCAGTACTTTCCTAAATTCTAAAAATTTTGCGGCCTCTAAATTCTGTCACCCAGTGCAACAGCATTTTTGTTACTACTGCCTGAAATGCCAATAAGATTCTATTGAGGTGTGCCGCCTGGTAATGCCCACTGAAAAGAGCAGGTGTGGAACCAAGGAGGTCTAACCTCCTTGTGTGGAACGAAGATCCTGCTGGAACACCTGTCGGCATTTTTGTCCTCGTAACTTAACGAATTTAATGGATATCTGAAAACTTTCACGAGGAAGGATTAAATGCTGCGATCCGATTGAGTACTCTAATATCATTCCACTTGTATCAAACACTTCTTTTAGCGTACGATCACGTTCTTTCATAATGCTCTGTTGGGAAAACAAAAATTAAGACGCTATTTGAGGTGAGCGCGAATGCTTGCCTTTTAAACTACAGATGTTACAATCAATCTAAATACATCATTAGATAAAAAAAAAAAAAAAAAAAAAAAAAAAAAGGGCAAGTTAGAAAAACACTTTTTTTTTTTAATTAGACAAAATGTACTTTTGGCGCATAGTAACGCATCAAAAGTAGCAAAATTTTGGTGAAGCTCCGTGCGCATGCGCGACCGAGAAGGTCGTCTGACAATAATGCGTAGACAGTCAGGTGTATTCGGGTGGTGTTTATTGTATTTTGCTTCATTTTAGCCAAGCTAATTAGCTAGCGGTGAACTGATTTTATAGAAATTTTACGAGTATAGCGATTGTGTATCAATAGAATTGACTATTATGCAGCGTAAGAGAATACACAATTCCGAAGCAGGCGATATTTGTATGGTTGATGTAATTATTAATGGACAGTCAAGTTTTAGTCTAGCATGCATACATATTCATTCAACATTTAGTTCAGAAGGTATGAAGATGTTCTTGTTTAGGTGCGTTGAGAAATAATCTGAGACTTGTTTATTGATCGATGATGAGTTTACTGTAGATACAGATATTTCTATAATTATGATGGGAGATTTGTAGACGTCAAACGAAATGAAAAGACGTTTTATTTTATGAAATAAGATTTTAATCTCATTGTGATGCCAAGTAACTATACAAGTACACTCGGCAATTCATTTATAGATTTAACATTTATCAGGAATATAGCAGATTTTTTAAAGTAGGTATCTTATTTCTCATATCCTGGACCAATTTTACACAGGGTCATTTTGAATTAACAAATGTAATAAACAAAAAATAAAATAAAAGGAAATATGTATGTGTGTAAAATCTTTTTTTGTTTTATTTGTTCTGTAACTTTTCTTTTCCTTCAGTTTCCTTTTTTCTATTCTATTTGTTCTGAAAGTTTGTTTCCTTTATTTGTTCTGTAACTTAAATACTAGCAACTCTTTAAAGTAAAAGGGAGAGCTTACCATCAATATTTTTATCTAATACCTTAAAGAGTATGAAATTTAGTTCTCCTTAGCTTTGTATTTTCGAGAAATAAGTTTAAAGGTGACATAAAAAATGAAGATAAAATATACTGACATCTGTGACATTTTTATCTTTTCTCCCAGATATCTTCAACCTCGACGCTGTTGTCATGTCCTGATTTCTCCACCTAGCGCCATGCGCCAGAGGAAGAATTCAAGGGCGCTAGATGGAGATCACACATCTTCTAGTAACGCCTTTGCCAGTATCATTGATGAGGGTGGTAAAGTTTAATGAAAACGCAGTTTTAATTCCCATAATGATTTAGTAAAATTAGTTTTTCAATGTAAATATATGAATAAATATGCATAAAATATGAATTCGTTTCATATCCTGTAATTGGAATACTCTTTTGGCACTGTGTAACTGATATGATTATTTAATTACAATTCATAAAGTTCATCAAATCTGGATGAATATTTGTATTTTGGGGCATTTTCTATGAACTTGTCCTATATCTTCTTCATATTTACAATGCAATTACATATTATGTTACGTATAGGTAATTTACAAAAGAAATTACTGCATATTCTAACTTGTTTGCACATGAAGTACCTACAGTAGCATACATTTGTTTTTGGACACTTGTAATTGTTATTTGCATAGATCATATTAAAGCATGAAACATGTTCTTAAAATGCTTTTTTCCCCCCTCTCTTTTAACCCTTGAATGTTCCAAAATGAATATCATCAAAATATTCCTTGCAATAAAATAATTTATTCACGATGTTTTAATAAATAACTCACATAATGATTTGGACTCTCGAAAATTTTATTGAGATCTTGTGGCAGACGTGTTTCTGGTCCTAATATTTTGTGTTGAATGAAAATACAGCCCAAGAATTAATACGTGTATTTGAAACTTAGTACTTGTTTGGCAAACTATATTAACATTTCCATATCTGAAGAGGGAATGGCAATACGCAACAAATTAATGGAAAATTCTCTCAGAAATTTAATTATTCATTATGCATATTGTTGAAACTCTCAACGTTGACACTCTTGCCGAACAATTCACATCACGTGATTTGCGCATGCATATGGCCTCGAAACCAGAACTTTTTTAGAACTAGTAATGGATAACTGAATGAAAGATGTAACCGATAACTTAATATTCTGTGTTTTGTATATAATTTGTTTTATTTGTTTTTTAATTTAAAAAATACTTTTTTGAACACTTAAGGGTAAACTCTTCGAGGCGTTAAGACTGCAACTTGACATTTCCAGATTGCGATTTTTCTTCCCACCCATTATCTGATATAAAGGTATCAAAACACAATGGTGTAGCTAGAAGGGAGCAGAAGAGGCGGTTTGTACCGCGCGGAATGTTCTTTGGGGAGCCATTTTTCAGGTGAAACATCATTTTATAGTCACGTATATCATCCAGGCAGGTGGGGAGGAAACGAAATTTTTTAATTGTCACAGAAAATTGAGTAGAAAAAGAGTTTTTACATTAGATATAATATTCAAAGATGTCTGTACTCGGTTTCAACAGGTGCATACTCTTGTTACATCTTCTTTGCTCCATCGAAGCTTTATGTCTCCGAATGAAAAATACGAATACCAAATTAAATTATAGCCATGATAACATTAATAAGAAATAATAGCATTAATATAACATAATATTAAAAAGAAAGAATTTCTCATTACGAGAGAAATATATTAGAGCTGTATATCCGATATTACTGGAGAAACCGACACAGAGACATGGATGGACAGCACTTTTAAACTTTCCTAAAACAAAGTTCCAAATATCGTAATACGTCTGCAGACTTTCCTTACAATTACTCTAGGTCTTGCCAGTGGTGAGGGGAAAAAAAGCAATTATTTAAGAAGTGTTTAAGGTGTTTATGAATGTATAAAGTCTTTCTAAACTGTTTACTATATAACAGAAAATGGAGCAATTAAGTAAATCTCTACAATCTCATTGCTGGTTTTGCGAACCAAAAAAGCAAAATAATAGCATAAATTTAAAGTGTTGTAGAGCACTTTAGGTTATTTGGAAGGAGGAGAGATGAAAAATATGCAACGCCTTCGTCGGGAATCGAACCGCGGACCTCTGGAATACGCGCCCAGCGTGCAGACCACCACATCATGAAGGCATGCCAAGAAGGCGGGAGAAATACCTTATATACTCCCCCTTTTAAAGGGCGACTGAGGTTTTTAGGGGACCCAATCGCCAAATCCTGGGTGAGGAGAATCATCATACAACACCCTTTTAGTTTGAGCGCCACTGTAGAGATATTATGTATTTTTTTTTTTTTTTTTTTTTTTTTTTTTTAAGCAGGCAAGGTGAAAAATTAGCAACGTTCTTTGCCGGGAATCGAACCACGGACCTCTGGAATACGTGCCCAGCGTGCAGACCACCACACTACGAAGGCATGCCAAGAAGGTGAGAGAAATACCTTATAGTGTTGGAGTTAAACGTTATTTCAAAAATAAACTCAAATGTTTTAATTTATTTCCCTAAATGTCATTTTGACATATTTAAGTTATTTATTTAGGTCTCGAAAGAGGCGACAAATTCAAGGACTGCCCCAGGCAGCAAACTATGGAACTGCACCGGGCGGCAAAAGCTCTGGCTACGCCACTATCAAAACACTATTACACCTAATTAGAATACTATTTAATATTCTCGGATCTAAATATGTTCTATCTATTAGAATCAAAAGTTAATTTAAATAACATTTTTCTTGTTCAGTTAATTAATGTGTAGGGTTTATATTTATTTTAACTAGCATTTATTTTAAGTTTAAACTATCTTTCCTGTCAAGCC